TTACTTCAGATTCTGTAAAATCATACACTGGATGTAACAATAATTATCCTACATCTAGACTTACTTAAAAAAATTTTTTCTTTATCAATAATAACTGAAATACTTTTAATTTAACAGATACTGTAAAAATAGCACCTTTGCACTACATAGGTCTATCCTACAGACATGTTTTACGTAATCCATTCCACTGTATGCGTATGATTACAACTAACGGTAGTAATAAACTTTATTTCATAGGGTTCATCTTCTTCTTGGGATTTAATACTCCTAATTCTCTATCATTAGCATTCAATTCCGCTGTAATATCGTTTTCACAGTAATTTTAGTCCACAGAGGAATCCAGTACTATAAAAGCTTTTTATTACAAGGTTCTAAAGAATAGTACAGCAATAATTAATTACTCACAAGAATCTAGTCTAAAGTAATCTGAGCTCAATTAGATATCAAATCTTTTCTCCTCTTTACGCTCAGATTTGTACACCTTATATACTTTTCTCTGAATCTATTTAAGGCAATAACATCGTCTACAATCAGACATGAATCATCACTACATTTTACAGTATTAATCAAACTGCTACAATATTATTACTTTACCATTAATGTCCAACACCGTAAGGTATTGGGCATCTTTACAATCTTAGTATTTCAAGTCGTATAACGTCCTGTACCATAATTAGTTAACAGCTATATTAGTGAATAACACTTTCTAATATAGTAGTTACCAGTCACCTAAATCTAGCAGCACAAGAATATCTATTTTTAGAAACTTAACTATTCTAAATATAGTACGCAACACAATCAAATATAGCTATCGCTACAAGCAAATATAGGGTGCATCACTACATCCGCGTTTGCTATAATATAATAACATTCATATAACACACCTTCATACATTCTCAAACGTAGCCCAATTAGCGATAGCAGCTTTCTTCTTACACTCATTGATACATCTTGTTATCATTTCGCACTGTTTATACCATCTTAAACCGTATTCGCGCCTAGAATTGCGATCTGGATGATAATGTACTAGAGCCTTATTCAACAATCGCTTTTCCTGAGAGATGGTAATAACTTTCGGTAACTGATAGCTTTTCTCTCTGTATTGAGGCAGTGGATACTTTTGGTAAATGAAACGTAAAAGCTTCTCGATGCTGTTACAAGATTGTCGTAGATTCTCTTCTTCCTGAATAAGCTCAGTATTGATGTCAAAATTATCTTCTTCTTGCTTATTAATATTTTCTTCCGTTTCTTTTGAGATTTTCTGAATAATATCAAATGCCGCTCTACACCAGCTCTCTAGTCGCGACTCCTTTGATGCCATATCAATACAGTGTTGACAGTAATGTATAGCTTTATCGTTATTTCGGACAATGTAATAATAGATTTTCCCAATTCTACAGTTAGCTTGAGCTATTAGATCTAAATGATTTTTATTTAATAAGAAAATAATCTCTTTATATGAATCAATTAAAATTAACGCTTCAAAATCTCGATCGCAGCTGTCGTTAGCTTCTTGGAGAGTATTTAATTTTTGATCAGAAGTATGAAACCTTTGCTTAGCAATTTGTAATCTAATATGATTGTCGTACGAAAAAGATGAAGGATCAATATCTGTTCTTTCAGTTGTGGTTGATTGCTTACTCGAAGTAGATGCAGTATTATCTCCTCGTATTATTGTTTTTA